TCTCTCTCTAGTGATAGAAAGCTGGATAGCAGCTTTAAATCTGTAAAAGATATTAAAGTTTACAAGGCATGGGGCTAAGAATAAGACAACTTGGAAACCTAGTTTAACTTTTTTTAACTTAAACACATTTTTTCAAAAAAATGTTTTATTGATATTTAAAATACAAAAACAAATAATAAATGTCAAACACCCTTTAAGTAATAAGAATCACATTACTTACTTACCCTCCCCCCCCCACTCCTTTTCAACCACTTCACTTTACTTACTTACCCCCACTCCTTTCCAACCACTTCACTTTAATAAAGTGAGTATTAAAATTGAAATTTTAATTCTAAATAACTCCAATGTTATTTGCAAAACATTGGCTCATAAGGTGTATTAAGTAGTGGGGGGAAATAGTGGCCCTACTCCGATAAAATGGGGCCGGGAAGCTAAGCTCCTGCTGCAATTAAGAATTAAAATAAGAAACCCTTACACTTCAATAACATATAAAATAAAAAAATAAAGAGAATAATAGTCACAAACACACTCACATACTCATATACTCGCACAAACAATGGGAGATAAAGTTTGCTTGTGGAACACGTCTGGACTTGTTTTGAGATTCATAATTCAGATAAATCCATGAAAATATGTTTAACTCATTATGGTATTCTGGTGTAATACTGGTTTGACGTCATGTCAGAGCTAAATCTTTTACGCTGGTTGCTATAAACAAAAGACTTTACTGTACGATACAAACCTACGTGTTAGATCTATACACATACATCAGTTTGCATGCTTTTTGCTCTTTATAAATGTTTTGTTTTTGTTTAAACTTATTTAAAAAAAATTTCTGCATGTATGTATAAATCTGTTTTATTGTATGATATGTATATGTCTTATATTCATGCTATGTATATGTCTTGTGCATAGAATTTAAATGTTTATAAGTTATTGCCTCAAAAATAGTTTTATTTTAGTTATCTAAAACATTTGGCATTTTTTAAATCTTTTTTTATATTGTTTGATTTGTTAAAACTGATGTGATCTCAAAACAATGTTTTCTTACCCAATCATAAACTTGCGGTGTTTCTTATTTATTGTATTGTCAAGAAGTTGTTTGCATGCAATATATTTTTGTTAAGACTGTTATGGTCTTAAATCTTTTTTTCTATCAATCAAAAATATTTGCTATTTCCTATATATTTTTTTTTCTTTCCTTCTAATTTGCAGTCATATAACTCTTTTTTACATTAAAAATGTCTTTCATATTACGTTTGGTTTCGTTTGACAATTATCAATACAACCCCCCTTTCCCTTATTTCAATTTTTAATTTTTTTTTTTTTTTGAATCTGATTTTATTCTAGGCATTTTCTATAAAACGTTTATCTTCTATTTCTTTTACCAATTCTTTTGTAATGTTTTTTCTTCCTTTTTCCACCATCATATATTTTATAATTTTAGGGATTTCTTTAAGAATTTAGAACTTGTATGTTGTTCATTTTTATTGTCAACACTATTCGAATTTGGTTTCGAGACGTCAAGGTTTCGAAAACTTTGTAATGTTTTATTTGACTTTCTGATTAGGTGCATTTTTCTTTTTTTTGTCTTAGGTTTACTAATATTTAGTTTTTTAGTGTTCTTTGTTAGTATATTTGCGATTGTTGTTCAATTTACTCTTAGTCTTTCAATTCAAGACGTTATTTAGTGCTCTCTTCAATTTTCTAAAGTGATTTGGTAAGTTGTTTCTGTGTTTCATATATTAAACTACTTTTCTTTTCATTTACCCAGCTCCTTCTTCATACTAATTTTTCAAAACTTTTAGTTCTTTAAGAACTTTAATAGGGTTGGTTTTTTACTATTTATAGTGAAGGACTTTATTTAAAATAAAACCTACATTTTAGGGTTTACATGATAAAATAAAACCTACATTTTAGGGTTTACATGATAAAATAAGCCTTATTTTGTGAAGCTGTTAATGATTGATTAAAGAGTGCAAGTTTAAATGACTATAAGGTATATTCATATTCTGAAGATTAGCTTTTAGTTATTGTAACAAAATTTTTTACGGCTATTTAAAATATTACCTACATTTTAAGGTACAAATGCCTGTACATAATAAAAAAATTCTTTAAAAATACAATTTTTATAACATAAATGTTGTATTGTAGTGTTAGTTTTATTTATACAAATTTAAATAAAGTTTTTTTCATTTCTTATCTTGGAATGAATTTCAGACAAAAGGTCCGTTAAGCTTAACGAAGAGATGTGAATACGGCTGCAGGTTTCAGACATGCAAATTAAACTAAAAATGTCCTTTCATTTTTATACACAAATTTTAAAAAGTTATTGAGAAGCTATTAAATATGCAAATTATTATTGGAATTAAGAAAGTCTTTTATACTAATGGTATAAAAATATAAGCAGTTGCTTAGTAAAGTACGTTCTTTGATAAAATAATTTAGATCCGGATCCGATTTATGGTTTAGTAAAAAGTCATCAGATTGAAAAATAGTCAAAAATTTAAATCAAAATTGCTACAATTATCCAAATCCATTTTCTCCATTTTCTTGTCCTTTTATGGTTTCTGCTACATTAGTTTCTAAGTTGTTTGGATTTTTAGTTTTATTTTTTGCTTATTTTATTTAAATATTACCTTGGTTCTCCAAACTATCAATTTTTTGGTCTCTTGGTCAACTTGGTCTCCAAACTATCAATTTTATCAGTAATTTAGTGAGCAAAGTTAAATATAAATATCGATTTTATAATTTTATTGTATAACTCAATCGTGTATTTTTACTATTGCGAAGTTCAAAAACTTTATTTAATTGAGCAATTGTAAAATTCTACGTCGCCACAATTTTTTTTTTTAACAACTTTCGTTACATCTGTATAAAACATTAAACAACCAACACAAGCCAATGATTTTTGGATTATTATTTTTAAGTCTAAATAAAAAATTTTCTAATTTACTATAAAAATCAATGCATTTTTTTTCTTTTTTTTTGCCATTAAGTTTAAAACCTATTTTCTTTGTTGTATATAACTTTCCTTAGAAATACGCAGCTCAAAAATTCTTGTATAACCAATATATTCCAACATTCCCACAACATGTTTATAAAAGCAAAAGCAACGTAAGGTTGTTATTTATTGTTTATTTAATGCCTATATATATATATATATATATATATATATATATATATATATATATATATATATATATATATATATATATATATATATATACATATATATATATATATATATATATATATATATATATATATATATATATATATATATATATATGTATATGTATATATATATATGTATATGTATATATATATATATATATATATATATATATATATATATATATATATGTATATGTATATATATATATGTATATGTATATATATATATATATATATATATATATATATATATATATATATATATATATGTATATATATATATATATATATATATATATATATATATATATATATATATATATATATATATATATATGTATATATATATGTATATATATATATATATATATATATATATATATATATATATATATATATATATATATATATATATATATATATATATATATTGATGCCATTAAGAATTTTTTCAAATATCAAATTGTTTCTTAGCATCATTTAGTTATATATTAGTAAATAGATTTAAACGCTGTAAAGTTGCTCAAATTTTATATGGGTGGCTTTAAAATCTACAGTTTGCTTTTGTTTCTTTTTTTTTTTTCTATTTATTTATTTATTTATTTTTTCGTGAAATTAGGTGTCCCTCCATTGACAAGTTTGTAACTTTGAGTGACACCTAACCAATTTATATTAATTTACGATGAAATTTGTAAATTTTATTTATATGGTTGAATAAAAAAAAAAAAAAATCAAAAATATTTATTTTTTATTTTACTTGTTTGAGCGGTATATTGGCTCAAGTAATCTCTTTATTCAATTTATCAATTAATTAATTAACTAACCTATGTCTCAAGTTGTCTATTATATAAAATCTATTTATAACTTTACAAGAATGACATTGTTATTAAAGTATATTAAATTTAAAAAGGTTCTAATTCTTTCTCCTTAGATTTTTTAGTGATTTGGTAAATTTGGTGATTTAATGAACTTGGTGATTTGATGAATTTGAAGCAATTTCTGCAGATTGCAATTGTTTCTGATATTTTTTTTACGTATTTGAGTTAATATTTAATTTAAGATTTAAGAAAAATTAAATTTCAAAGCTTGTACTGCAGCATAGTGAAAAGTTTTAGGGAATATAAATTTAAATTATTTATAAACAAGTAAATACAAGCTAAAACTATTTTTTAAACAGTTTTTCATGACTTTACTGAAAAGGAAAAAAGAAATTACCAGCAAAAAAAAAAAAACAATTCATAAAAACAACTTTTTTCAACCAAAGAAAAACATATCTTCATGCTTTTATAAAAACTAATCTTTTATAAAAACAATATTTTTATGAATTGATTTTTTTTTTGATCAGTTCAAAAAAAAAGAAGTTTGTTGTACAGTTTAGGAATCAAAAGTTCTTTGAGAATTTCTTGCAAAACAAAGATGCATAAGAATAAAATTAAAAAAAAAAAACAAATTTGCAATACTTTTTTGGTGTTGCTGTTTAAAGAGATTCATCATCAAGCAATATTTTTTCACTGTGAGTTGGAATGCTTTCATATACGAGTGACATTATCAATTTAAGTTATTTATTGGTCAGTTTTCATAAAAATTATTTGATATAAGTCTATATATACATATAACAACTTAAATGAGTTAAAGCAAACATGATAGAAATAAAACTATTAACATTTATACTTACTACTTTCATTTATATGAGAGCGTTAGAAAATTGCATGAGCTTTTATCTTATGAAAAAATTAACCTTTTCAAACGTTACTTTGAATTCATATTTTATTAGGACCCTTGCAGAAGCAAGAAAACCATAATTGCGATATTTCTCTGTAACCAAACATTAAAAAAAAAAAAAAATGTTTTAACTAACTTTCGTTATAAAAAATTTTCTTTTTACATGTTAAACAAGTTTACCAAAGATAAACAGGTTCTAATAAATAATTCCGTCTTTCGTCACGTCCACGTCTTCTGCAATTATCACTTTCCACGTCACTTTCTTCTGCAATTATCTACTCTAAAGATAGTTGTTTTTTTTGCACTATTTATTTTCTTTTATTCAGTTTAGTTTTATGAACTTGGCACATATTTAATATTTTTATTATATATATTTAAATTTGTTGTATATCTTTAGATAACACTGACAGTTATATATAAAAAATATTAACTAAGTTTTTATTTGTTTAAACTAAAATGAAACAAATTTTCATCCTCCTCTGTGAGAAAGTTTCTTAATTTAATATTGTGATAGCTCGAAAACATCTATCAATATATTTAAAAGGAAATTTAAATTTTATCAATTAATTTGAATGTAAAACAGTAAGGCTTTTTTTTAAACAAAAAAATAAAAATAAAGAAAATAATAAAATACTTTTACCTTTTCCGCGAACGTGGTGAATAATAATGTTGCTATGCTTGAATCGACTTAAACTTTTTTAAAAGTTATCCGGGAATGTAAAAGTAAATTCTGTTTTGCTTGTCGCAACAAAAACAAGCAATGTATACTTTACAAACTCCAGCTCAGATTGTTTTAAGAAATTTAGTAAGAATGCATAAAAATGGAGATTTCCCACTGGTCAGTGTCCAAATGTGATTTTTTACTATATAAATTTTGTAAAATTTTTTTATTCAAGGTATAATGTTTTTTTCAGAAAATTATAAACAGTAAAAGTGTAAAACCTCCTGGCAAAAAAGGAAGAGTTACTATTTCAGTACAAGGAAGAATACGAATAGTTGTTTAATTATTTCATTGTATATTCTGTAGTCTGAGAATTCATCGAAAAAATTGATCTCAACTTAAGAAAGTAAATGAACTCAATTTTATCTCAAGACAATAAAAGTTGCTCAACTTCAAGCATTACTTAAAAGTTTAAGCAAAAAAAACAGAGTAAGCAAGGCAAGCAAGGTTAAACTACCAACCTTATAATACAGATGTATATTCAGCATCAGCATTAAAAGTATGTTGACTAAAATTAAATCTTAGTCAATCAAGGTTTGAGAGCGATCTGGAGACAATCAATCAAACAAGGTTTGAGAGCAATGTGGAGGCTGATGTGAGAATATGACTTTCTGCTGATGTGAACAGAAAGTCATATTCTCTAGATCACTTTAATTGAATCCAGCAGTTACTCCAGGTGATAACCATTTAGGGATTAAAAAGTTGTAGCATATGTTGAAAGCATACTTACGCTAGTTGATGAATTATGCGAACAAAGAAATTTAGTCCTCGAAAAAGCATTTGTAAGAAAAGGAATTAATGGTAGCATATGATTTCGTGCCTTCATGATGAGAGCCCGAAGAGCCATTATTTTTTCTTTTTTACTTTCATGTGTTGCAATATAAATATATAAATACAATTAATATTTCAATATAAATATAGATGGTCTGGGCAGAAAAAAGACACAATTTATCTTATCGCCAAACCCCGAGAATTGATTTTAAAATATATAAATAAATAGTCATGTTTGTTACCTTGTTACCAATATACATAAAACAAGAATTTCTCTTTTGAAAAAATTAAACAAAAAGTTACAAGGAAATAAATAAAGAGAGAGAGGGAAAAAAAAATAATTTAGTTTAAGACTATAAAAATATCGAACTATTGCTAGGCTTGGCTACAATGCTAATTTCTTCTTCATACAATATTACCGTAAGAGATAAAATTATTAAATTTTTTCAAAAATTAATCCTAGTCGGGTAATTTGAAAGGAAAACTATCACTTTTACTGTGTCTGTTTATTTAATGCCTATTAGTTGTATCATTTATTCTCATTTATTTTAAACAATTCTTTATTACATATATTATAAAACAATGTTTTTGTTGAAATAAAAAAAGATAAGAGTTGTCTGCGAACAATTAAATATTTAAAAGATTTGATTCTAAATATAAACCGTCTATATTTAGTAAGAATAATTGTGATTTTAAGAATCTTCGGAGATACAACATGTTGTGATGAGTTTTTCTGTTTCATCTGTTTTAAAAAAATACAAGTTGTATAAAAAGTAACTTTTATACCGAAGTAAGTTTTTTATTTTAGTAGAATTCTTAATTTTTTTAGCACATCTTTATTAACTTACATCACACCTTTTAATAAAATTAATCCAATAACGCTTTTTAAAAAAAATAGACAGTCTTTGTAGGGTTTATATTTTTTTGGATGGGCTTTTATTATAATATAGATAGTTATAAAATAAGAATCAAACTAGCATTTTTTGACTATTCTTTTCAAAGATTTTCAAAAAATAAACCATGATATACGTACCAAATAGTTTAACTGTCATATAAGTTTAGCAACTTATTAATTAGAACTATATTACCAGATGGCAATTCATTGTTATCTAGTTATATAGTTTCCGGGGATTAAATAAATAAAAGTTTTCAGGGTTATTGCCACATAAAAATAATCTTACCACTGACATAGTGTAATTTATCAGGCACCATCAGGTCAGGCGACGTCGAAACAACGTCGGTTGACGTTCACTTAATGTTAGTATTGAAATTATTTGAGCTACTCTTGCAAAAAAAATAACTCCATGAAATAAAACAAATCAAATCGTTGACCGGCAAAACAAGACAGTTATGTCTCAGCTTATATCTCAGCAAAAAATTTTTTTTTTTCATTAATTTTTTTTGATAAAAATTTTAAATTATTGTGCTTCATTATTATAAAATTAATTTAATTTTAGAAATACCGAAACGCATCATCTTTTAGAAATACCAAAATGCATCAGTAAAATTGCGAAAAACAAAATTTGCTTTCTTAAGCGATACAACGACAAAAGATTTAACTTTGCTAATTTGCTTTATTTATAAAAAGTTTGTATTTTTCAGACAGTATTTTTTATCCTCTTTTAGAATCTAGTTTTAAAAGAATATCTGGAATTGAACTTTTTGAATAGTAATAATTTCAGTAAAATAACTTTTGTGGGGATATAGGGACAACAAGTTATATATAGAATCGAATATATTACTACCATTTTGTGATGCTGTTTGGTTATTTTATATTTAATCGAAAATATTAATTTCCTTATTTAGAAAAGCGAAATTAGTATTAAATTCAAAGAAATTGTTATCTTCATTACTTCACTTCGATTTTTAATAGTGTTTAATGTAAACAACGATGGTAAGAAATTATATAAGAAAGATTAATCATCCAAAATGGGATGAAATGCAGTTTTAGCTGTGAGTAATAAGGAACTTAGAATTAGAAAAGCTGCTGATAAATATGGTATACTTAAATTTTTTCTACATTGACATATTGCTAATAAGTCAGATCATCAAAAATGTTATCAAATAGTTTCAGGATATTTTTTGTGTGATTATTATGATCCATTATATTTTTTGTTTAATTTTAAATTTTGTTGTAGTTACCAATATATTTATATAGATTAGGGTAGAGTGGAGGTATTTTATAATAAAACACAAATTATTGTGTTGTATGGGTGTATGGGGGTATAGTTAATATTAGGGCTGTACCGGATTTCGGCTCCGGCTCCTGCTCCGGCCGAAATCCGGCCGTTTTTACAAATCCATCCCAAATCCGGCTCCGGCAAAAATTTAGCAAATCCGGCATAATTTTAGCCGGAGTTTTGAATTTTGTCAAATATTTATTACATTTTTTTTGCCCGTGTTTACATGTATACCTATTATTTTATTTATAAAAATCAATTTTTTTTGTAATTATATATTTTATGAACCTCATATTTGTTTTGGTATTTGTATTTATATTTCTTTATAATTTAATAAGCTTAGTCTAATTTCAAACAACAACGCAACAAAAAATTCTGAAGGGAAGACACACGATATTCTACATAATGCAGGTATACAGACTATGATGTCAACCCTAATCAAGTGATTGGATGAGCGTTTTAAAAGCATTGAAAAGAGAAACCTCTTTATATACTGACGAGGCTGGTTGACTCACAATTTAAAACTAAATTCTCCTCATTAGAGGCAACACTGAGAGCTGAAAAAACAAGATTGAAGTCAATCTGAGCATGCTGAACAGAAGATTGAGAAAAGTGAAGAAAATCCATCAAAATAAGCCGGGCTTAGTAATTTTTCTACATCATCATCATCATTACTATGGCAATTTATTGATAAAATTATTCAGTCTACGTCCGCTGGTGGCAGGGCACATAAACAACAATTACTAATAGGCATTGAAACTCAGCTAGGGAAATATCCGTAAGAACCAGAAATAAATAGACACAATGATCCACTACAGTGGCGGAGTGACAAAATCCCGAAAAAAAAGTTCAATAGAATTACTATAAACTTTTAAAACATATGGCCTATAGAATTTCTTTAGAATTTCTATTAATTTATATATAGAAATTGCTATAAAACTTTTTAAATAACAAAAATGAAGTTTAACAGAAAAAAGCAGTCACTTGGTCTTCTGAATAGTCCACTTTGTTGACCATGCTCAACACCAAGTAGGGATGTACAGGATTTTGGCTCCTGTAGTTTTCTTTTGAAATCCGGCTCCGGCTCCGATTCCGGCCGGATCTGTCAGTAGAAATCCGGCAAATCCGACTCCGACCGGATTTGAAAAAATTAAATCCGGTACAGCCCTAGTTAATATGGGTATGTTACTTATTTAAAAGTTTCATTTTCTGAACATAGATGGCATTAATTTTTTATTATTTTTAAAGCTTTACAATTAACGAATAATTGCCGCTTTTTAACTGTTCTGTTTTGCTCCACCTACTTCCAAAACGTAAAAATTTAGCTAATCTAGAGTTTCGTTACTTTTGCAGCAAGAATTTTTTATTTGTTTTTTCGTTTTCTCATATCATTAAATTTTAGGAAATTTGTAAAAAACAGTATTGACTAAGATTCGTTTATCCGCAACTTTTGTTTCTTAAGTGTCCCTATATGCTCCGCTCTACCATAAAAAAATTAATTAAATAGTTTGGGTCAAGTTTATATCAAAAAAAAAAAAAAAAAAAAAAAAAAAAAATATGTTTTAACAAAAGATTAAATATAACAGATCAGAACTAAGTATTTTTATTGTAAGACAATCGTTGGAGCCATTTTTTTTCCGCACCAAACTTTCCTTTTAAAATATATACTTTTTCATTTTCTCTTTTCATAATTAATAAAAATAGCATAGCCGTGAACCAGTTGGGTCCAACCTTTTATTTTTGTTGCGCCTATAGTTAAATATATTTATATAAAATTTGAAAATACTTATAAAAACTTCTTTTTTTAAATATCAAAATAAAAATATTTCGTTATTAAACTAATAATAAAAATAATAATACTGCAAAAATCTTTTCTATATAAAAAAAATAGAACTCATTGTACACAGCTCAGAAATTTAAGGTCTAAGTTTTCTATCCAAGTACCCCAAAAATATTATAGCACGTGGGGCATCTGGAAACTTTTTCATATTTAGATCTGGAAGGTATCACATTT